AAAACTAATTAAGAGAGACAAAGATGGTCACTACATCCTTGTGAAGGGAACAATCCAAGAGGAAGAGATGACAATCATAAATATATAAACATGAAATATGAGTGCTTCCAATATACAAAACAAATATTAATGGACATGAAAAACCAAATAAGCACTAATACAGTTGTAGAAGGGGACCTCAACACCACTCTATCACAAATAGACAGATCATCTAGACAAAAAATTAACAATGAAATTTTAGAACTGAACCAATCTATTGAACAAATGGACTTAATAGATGTTTACAGAGTGTTGCACCCCACATAATCACAATACACATTCTTTTTGGCTACAGACGGGTCATTCTCCAAAAATAGACCACATAGTAGCTCATAGGACATGTTTAAGTAAATGTAAATTGAAGTTACCCCCTGCATATTATTAGACCATAGTGCAATAATATTGGAGATCAAGGGCTGGGGATTTAGCTCAGTGGTTTTGCCCCCTGCTGTGCAAGCACAAGGACCAGAGTTCGATCCCTGGTACCAAAAAAAAATAAGTAAAATATTGGTGATCAGTAACATAAGAAACTGCAAAACCCCAAAAAACAAACACATGGAAATGAAATAACACCCTCCTGAACAACCAATGGGTCACAGGAAATTAAGAAATTAGACAGTTTCTACAAGTAAATGATAATGCCATTACAACATACAGGAATCTGTGGGACACATTGAAAGCAGTTCTACACGGGAAATTCATAGCAGTGAATGCCCATATTAGGAAAACAGAGAGAACTCAGATAAATTACCTAATGCAGAACCTCAAGCTCCTAGAAAAAAGAAGAGCATAACAAGCCCAAAGCTCGTACAAGAGAGGAAATTATAAAGATCCAAGCAGAAATCAATGCAATGGAGACTAAGAGAATGATACAAAAAAATCAATGAATCAGAGTTGGTTTTTCAAAAGAATAAATAAAATCGATAAACCTTTAGCCAGCCTTATCAAAAACAGGAAAGAAAAGGCTCACATCCATGCAATTAAGAACGAAAAAGGGGAAGTCACAACAGACCCAGCAGAAATCCAGAGGATTACCAATACCTATTTCGAGAACCTGTACCCTGTTAAAATGGAAAACACAGAAGAAATGGACAGATTCCTAGATACATATGAATTGCCAAAGGTAAATGAAGAAGATATAGAAATTCTAAACACCCCAATTACAATGAGTGAAATTGAAAATGTAATAAAAAATTTACCAACAAAGAAAAACCCAGGTCCTGATGGCTTCACTGCTTAATTCTACAAGACATTAAAAGAAGAACTATCACCATTACTCTTTTAAAATCAGCAAGGAAATTGAAAGAGAAGCAAGGCTTCCAAATTCATTCCTGGAAGCAAGTGTTACTTTGATTCCAAAACCAGGGAAAGACTCAACCCAAAAAGAGAACTACAGGCCAATCTCCCCAATGAACATAGATGCAAAAATCCTCCACAAGATATTGGCAAACAGAATACAGAGGGTCATCAAGATCATACACCCTGACCAAGTCGGATTTATCCCAGGGATGGAAGGATTGTTCAACATAAGTACATCAATAAATGTAATACACTATATTAACAGAATCAAGGACAGAAACCATGTGATCGTCTCAATAGATGGAGAATAGGCATTCGACAAAATCCAACACCGATTCATGATAAAAATCGTACAGAAATTTGGAATAGAAGGTCTTTATCTCAACCTGATTAAGGCTATCTATGAAAAATCAACATCCAACATCATACTAAATT